ACCTCTTTTTCTTTTTCCTTCATGTTTTGGTTGGGATTGATAGTGGTGAGCGTTCCAGATCCATTATTCTCTATGTATGAAGAATTTTCCGTGTTTTAGCCTAGAAGTAGTCAGTACGTATCGCGACCAAATGACGATGCTCGCCAGATTCTCAAAGAGTGTTCGTGTATCCCTACTAATGAGGTGTTATTGTTTTTTTATTCCTGAAGTTCAGTTAATACCAAATTTGTTTAGTTGGCTGCTATATTAACCAACATTAGCGCACCGCTGGCGTTGTGCACAGCTATGACTGAGGAGAACTGCGACCAGTGGACGAAAAATGATTTTCTCATGAAGTATGAACAGGTATGATGCAGTTTCAGGATTTTGATTTTCAGCTTGCAGTTTAGACTACTATCATCTTAAGGCTCTTCGTTTCCTTGAACCGCAACTGAACGAAGATCTCGTAGAAAATGTACCTCCCGCTGTTCTGATCTCTCAGACAACTTTATCGGATGCAAATGTTACGATCTTGGATAGAATATCTAATTATGGTGAGTTTACAGTGCAAAGTTGCGTATTCAAGACATCATATTTATTCTTCTCTCTTTATCCTCGCTACGGCCTATCTTTTTTTTTGTTTTTTCCGTTTTTTTTTTCAGAAATATTGCTACTAATTCTGAGCGATATGAATTCTATGCTGTATTAATATTATTAGTTTACTTTGATCATAGATTAACGCTGATTCATTCAGGTTGTGACCGTGAACGCTTTGTTGAAGACTCAGAATATCGAACGGAAACCATTATTGGACTGGCTATGTTAGTCATCGGATTTAGTTTGTAGAGGTTTCGAAAAATTTTGTTATAAATTTTCTTGGTTTTAGGACAGATGATGAAGTGATGTATGCTGATGCACTTGAACTGGCCGCAGATTTTAAAATGAACGATTGGCCAGTGCATTTTGCCTCGCTCGAGAATGCTTTGACATCGTGAGGCTTTAAAACACACTTTGTAGAAAGAGCTTCTAGTAAAATTCATACTTAGGATGTCAATACCTGAGGCAAAAGCCTTACTAAAAGCTCGTGGACATT